TATTTTCAGATACATGCGTTTGGTAAAAAGTGATGGTTTTTACATACCTATTTTGATTTTTGGACCACCCTAATGAAGAATAATTGGACCACCCTAGTGAATTATTTCGTATTAGATCCTAAATGGTGGTTTAATTCGATATATAAGCAGGTTGGAGACAATTGTGAACAGTTTTAGAAGCCGACTCATCAATCTTCTATATTCCATATAGAACTCATGAAAAAAATTCTAAGTCCCAGAAAGTCGATTTTTGAAAAAAAAAAAAATCGAGATAACACCAAATCTCGACGTTTCATGCATTTGTAAGACATTTGGCATCAAAAATTTTTTTTTGGTTTCCGTAATTTCAAGTTCCCCCCTTGGGAGATTATCGAGAGTGAAAAAAGTCAAACTTTGAAGCGTTTGCGCCACCCCTAAATCATGTCCGATTGAGCTCAAATTTTGCATAGGGTCATTTTTCGAGGCAATAAACATTTTGTATATGGTTTGTTAGCGAAATTTGATGGTCAATTTTTTCCCATACATTCATTGGCAGTCGAATGCTTAGTGTAAAATGGAGACCACGCTGGGGAAGCCTATTCTAAAAGCTGGCGCACAATGCATGGGCTAACTGTCAAAAAACCTGAAAACGTATCTATTGTGCGCCGGCCTTTAGATACTACGAACCAGCGAGCAGAATAGTATTTAGGCAATCAGCTTTAAACAGTTTGGACGATGAGAGAAGCTCACACAAGTCATTCACGTAGATGATAAAAAATAAGAGGACCGAGAACACTGCCTTGTGGTACGCCAGATGAAGTGTCAAAGGTCCTGGAGCGTATGGAATTCACCACAACGAAAGCATTTCGGTCAGATAGGTACGAGTTGAGCCATTCCGTGATTCAGGTTGGAAATCCTATTTGATTCATTTTGCTAATGATGAGGTTGTGCGGTACTGTATCGAAAGCTTTCGCAAAATCGACTTGATAATCGTTTCCACTCAATAATCATAACAATAGAATTCAACCAGTCAAAGTTGCATGCCGAATAGTCAAATAGTTCTGATCGTCAAGTACGGATGGTACAACACTCTCGTCAAGTAGTATGATGACTGGTGTGTGATGGTTATCAACAGGTAACAGCGATTCAGGTGCGGCAATCAGGTCAAGATACTCCAGGATACTGGTAAACGCCAGGTCAAGGAGTCTTTCGTTCGTGTTGACAATGTTATTAATCTGTCTCAAGCGATTGGCAAACATAGCTTCTGTAAAGTTTCTCTCAGTATCAGTCAAGGCGTTTGAAGGAATAAAACCATTAATGTCCTCGTCAAGATTCCACCGCAGATTAGGAATATTAAAGTCACCGATCGATAGGATTATGTCAGTCTCCAATTGACGATCTGCCACTTGTTGAACGGCCCTTGCATGAGTTAGGTGGAAGATAGATGGCCACTACATAAAGCGAATGAACTTGCGACTTTATGCAAACTACAATTTACTCAAGATTGTCACAGTTAGCTATCAAAATAGATTCACACTCCAGGTAGTTTTTGGTCGCAATTAGTACACCACAACCCCGCAAATGAGGACTGGTTAACCAGCTAGGTGGCAACCCTATCTTGTTTGCCTTGCCTTGAAAAGAGCTAACATCGCTCTAAGAGGAAGAGGTGACAATTGGCTTCTTCCTCTTTTATTTCTATCTCTATCTCTATCTTTATCTATCTCCATCTCTATCTTACGCACATGAAATCGGCCAATCAGGAGCTGGTTCACGTTTGACAGAAAAGTGGTTCATTTTCGTCCCACTGACAGCTCATACTTTGTAAGCAAATAGAAGATTCAAGCCAGAATTTCAAAAAAGGCGTGACTGATATTTTAGATATTCTGAATATTTTTGCTTACATTTTGTGAAAAATAAACTTAGAACTCATAATATATTATTTTCTGATTTTCTACCACGAAGTCAACCATTTATATGGTATAAAAGGGAAAATAATTTCATTTGATAAAAATAAGACAATTCAGTCACGCCATTTTTTCAGTTCACACTTGAATTGTGACGTTTCAGATGTTGGTTTCAATAACATGGCGGTATATCACCCAGCTGTGGTTAACTCATTGCGATCACAGCGGAAAAAACGTAATCCGATGAAATTTCACTGCTGTCAATATCAGCACGGAGCCATGCAGACGGAGCTGAGCAATTTTTGTGCGCAAACCTCTGACATTCTGATATTGCACAGAAAACATGCGATCGGTGGTACGGTTTGCTGCGGAAGGCGCAATAAGACTCGGCGGCATGCTTGAAGAGACGATATCACGTGCAGCAGCTACTGTGAGAGATGATTCAGCAGCTTCGATAGCGTCAATATCCGAGTGAAACCCGTTTGAAGTGTGGTGACTAGAAGCAATGGGCATTACTGGAGGAGAAATATTCCAATCATGTGTGTACTTGCCTGCGATGACGGTTTGGAAGACCCCTTCTCGGGAGGGACTCGACTATGCTGAGAGGATTAGGGGCTTCCATGAGGCTAGCAGGCGTGTATCCCGGTGCTGGAACGAATGCTCCATATAGAGAGAGACGAACATGAGTGCCTGGATAGAAACGATGGACGTATCAGGTGCATAATTGCTGTTAGTGGAAGTAGTGGAAGACCCCTTCACCAGATCCAAACACAGGGCCGGAACGACTGTTGAACGCTGGCAGGAGAGGCACGGGCTATACCGTATGAGACAGTGCCTGGTCCGGCGGAGAAACCCCGACGGCAGAAAAAATAGAACCGTGAGGAACACAAGATCAGTGCAGCCACCGACGGGGGGCTAGGTTTTTATCATACAAGTGGGCTTCCTTCAGAAAGGCGATCAGCGCAGCCAACGTCGAGGGGTCGTAACCAAGCAGATTACTGACGTTCTCCGAGAGTCCATGTTGTTCGCGTAGCTTCTGGAACTCCGGGCAGATATACAGCACGTGTTCCACCGAGGCGGGGATGCTGCAAATTGAACAGACCTTGCGGAAAGGTGTCCCACCGTAATTACAGGAATTCCTCGCATGGCCGGTCCAGAGTCTTGAGATGATCCGTTGGTCCTTGTACTTTTGGCTGTCCAGCCAGGATCGTACGGTTTCCTTGATCTTCCTCAGGAAAGTGGTCCACGACTGGAACCATTCCTGCTGCCAGGCATCCATAATGGTATACACAATCCAACGCCTGACGTCTAGGAGGGGTGGCTAAGCAGGTTATTCCGAGGCCATAGAAAAGTCGACTGTCGATAACAGTCCGAGCGACATGAAGGCGGATCTCACGGTTGCTGGAGCGATGCGGGCGGGAGATTGTCCTGACTATGTTGATGCGGCTACGACAGTTTTCTTTCGCCATCCTGAAGTGCTGGTTGAAGCTTAGGGTGCGATTCAGTACTACCCCCAGAACACGCACTGTTTTCTTGAGCGGAATCGGATGATCTTGGATGGTGATCGGTGGTCCTCGAATCAGATGGTCCGAGTGACAGATATGGCACCGTACACTCTTCGGAGCGGAGAGCTGGAAACCAGCCGAAAGCGCCCACCTGCTGACGGCGGAGACTGCTGCTTGAGCTATGTTCCTGGTCCGCTTAGTCGTTCGTCCCGTTACGACGATGAATATGTCGTCGGCATAAACGATTTCGTGCACGTTCTTGGGCAATCGGCTGAATACCCCGTTCATTGCCACCAGGAATAGCGTTTCCGCTATGACGGATCCCTGGGGTACTCCAGTTTCCTCGGGGAACGGATCCGAGCGAGTGTTCCCGACAGTCACTTGGAAGGTACGATCAAGGAGGAAATTCCGTACAAAATGTGTGATGTGACCTTCCAGTCCCCAACCGATGAGTTGCCTGATGACACCAGGTGTCCATGTCCTGTTAAACGCCTTTGAAATATCAAGGGAGACTAACTGCGCATGGTGACCGTTGTCCTGGGCTTCCTTAAGTACTTTCCCGAGGGCTGCAAAGTAAGTGGAGGAGCCGTGTCCTTGCCAGAACGCATGCTGCCGTTCGTCAAGGAGGCCGTTTGACTCCAGGAACTGCTTAAGACGACGATTTACCATTCTCTCCATCACTTTTGCCGCGCAGCAAGTGAGCGCAATCGGCCTAAAGGAGGAGGCTTCTTCACTCGCCGTGTTGTTCTTCGGTATGGGAGCTGCCTCCCTGGCGTCGGTAGCATTGGTGCTCAGCACGGAAAACAAGATCGACGGAAAATAAATCAAGGAAAAAATCGATTTCTATCGACAAGTTATCCCCGATCCAAAAGAACCCCTAGTGTAGGATATGTAAGTATGAATTTTGCAAAGACATTAACTTCCTAGGCGATCAGGTTCTTGAGGTAAAGCTTATACTAGATCTTCATATGCCCGCTTGCTCCGCGTAGTGAGAAAATTCTGAACTACTCTGCCGCTCATCACAAGTCGACCCCACGCGCGGTTTTGTCAAATCTGAATTTTTCAATGAAGTGTTAGCTAATCATCCATATATTATACTGCACACCCATGCATTATACTGAACTCAACAACTTTCTTCTGGAAAAGTTTGGAAAACAGCCAAACGGGTTGTCTCATCACATAAGAAGCAATGGTACGAAGCAAACTTAAAATGCGTTTTTTTTGCGTGTTATGGGACGGACTTGCCATGAGCGGCAATACTGTGACGTTTTCCCTTAAAGAATTATTCTCAAGATAGTAGCTTCAGTTGGAAACATTTAAGCCAAATCCCATACTTGGACTCCATTTAGGTGCTTCCCCGTGTAAACGGAATCAGTCGAGAACAACGTATATAAAAACCACGCTCTTCGAGGGATTGTTGTATAAGAGCGCTGGCTATCCGGTTCCGGCCGCCCCCAATCATCATAGAGGTTTACGCAATAGTTGTCGGAGTCCTCGAGTTTAAATTGCTGGTAACAATACTCGCTTGATAGTAAAATTTAAGATTTCTTTGATAAAACGTAAAACATCATCAATTAAAGGTATACTTAGTAAAGCTGACTATATTTCGCAAAATTAACACATTCTAAAATCAGGTCCCATACATGGAGAAGAATTTGCTTCTTAGAAGTGATGATGAGTGATATGACTGGTAGCATGATGACCACCGTGACTATGATAGGCAGCAACTGGAGCGTAGTGCGCTACTGGAGCCACATGCGAAATATGGGTAATTGGAGCAACGTGGTGCGAGAAACTAGCATGGGATACGGGAGCGGCATGATGGTACGGTGCAGCAGCCACGTGGATTGGCTGAGCAAAAACTTTGTGGACCGGCTGAGCAATTTTCACGTTGGTTGGCTCACGACGGACGACGGCGTTGAATCCATTGTGGTGGTCGGCATGATAGTCTACAATGCGATGGTGACCGTCGGCATCCAAGAGAGTGTACTGTCCACGAACTTCATCTCCATGACGGCTCTCGTGCTGACTTTTGATATCCCCGGTGTGGTCATCGTGCACAGAATAGGAGAACTCGTAGTTGGCTGGTGCATGATGTTCAACTTGCTTCACAATAGTGTGATGGACTGGTGCAGCGTGATAAGTCGCCACGTGATGCACAGGAGCAGCATGGGAATGCAGTTGAATGCTTTGATGCGAAGATGCGTATCCATGCTGTGGCATAGCGTGGACAGCGGCAACTAGAGATACTACAAGAATGATCTACGGATAAAATAAACATTAGTAAATTCGTCAGAATCTAAACCAGAACCAATCTATACTTTGAATGCCATTTTTATCCCTCAATCAATGTGCTTTTAGAATTGAACTGATTTCACTTTTCCGCTGGTATCGTTTTCCTATGAATGTACTCGCAGAACTACACTTTTTCTATAATTGAATCTTAGTTTATATACCCAAAAGTCGTCATTCATCTACGCAAGCTTTTCCTCTACTATAAAATTACCAACCACCAAAGGTGTGACCAGTTTCCACACTCTCCGTATGGGCTCTTCAAGAATGGTCGCAGCGGGGGAAAAGTTTGCGCAAAAAAGTCACCCTTAAAAATCGAGTTCTAATCCAGCCCGACTAATGAGTGCGTCGATCGGTTTCCAGCCAAATGCGTGGTTGTCTCTTACAAGAACGACCACATCATTGACACCGTTCCAACATCCACCGTAGTGCAATAGGCACAGACAAATCAAAGATATTAATATCTTCACTGTGCACGGTTGAGTCGAATTCCTTCATCAGCAGTACCAGCAGATCAGATCAGATTGAACCAGTTATCTTATTACTTTTACATTTTCACTCGATCAACAAGATGTCGCCAACACCTGACAACGATGGCGCAGCGTAGTCTCGCCGTCATTGCCACCAACAGTAATCCGACACTTGGTCAATGATCGTAAATTGGAACTAGCAACGAGAATGAGGTGCTTGCGTTAAAAGGAAATCCTTTCAGGTTTTTATTGCATTAAAATGATGTGGCTGGAATGCTCTCAATTGATTGTAACATGCTTCCGAAAGAATGTAATCGGTAGTCTAGTCACCATGAAAGAAAACATGAACTAAACTGCTAACACTAATACTCATTGAGAAGTTCTGTCTATGCACAAGCCTGAACAGTAATTTTTCCAAAGGAATTTTCTTGTTCAATATTTTCCATAAAACCTTTTTCTCCAAATTTTGTTTGTGCCTAACACGTTAGAAGAAAATAAATAACTAAGGAAATACAACTTATTCTGTTTTTCAGTGGCATGTGGCATGGCCTGAAAAGGACGAAGGAAGAGGAGGAGTTCCACCTCAGGTGTCACATCCCTTCATTTGAGACGGTAAAATTCCCATATTTTATTGGAAAATTCCTATCACCTACTTGCTAAAATGTAAGGAAATATTCGAAAAATTCCATAAATTATCTAAAAGTAGTAATTGAAATAGTAAAAACTACAAAAGCAATAACTATAAAAAATGGCATCAAGAATTCAAAAAGATTGAATAGAAAATTCAAATGCAGAAATAAAAAACAAATGTCTTGCCGATAATTTTTTTTTTATATAGTTTTAATTAATGGTTCCTCACGAAGCAGATTTATTGTCAGTGACCAATTTGAGAGCAACATGTGACCGTTTATATTTTGTCTTCTTAAACACTGGTTTTCAATCAACGTGTAAAACACTGGACATTAAACTGATGCCAAATTTGAAATATTCACTCCACATGGCTTAAACGGTTCCAAACCGGGTCCATTCTTGATTTATTTTCCGTACTGAGCGAGCACCAACGCTACCGACGCCAGGGAGGCAGCTCGCACACCTGAACCCTACCTATCGACCCATCAACTCAGGAACCGGTGACCAACGGCTTTACTTCCTTTCCGAAGGAAGGTGTGATCAGAGATTTTATGCCTAAGAAAATCCCGGCGACGCCGACTGGGATTGAACAAAGGCCCTTTGGGGTGAGAGGCAATCACGCTTACCACTACACACCCGGCCGGCGCCGCTAATTCGGGTCCTGATTAGCTTCCCAAGATTTGAACTCTTTTGGTTAGAAACTGCACTAACTATTTGATGGTTGTATGGGAGTTTGTGTATGCGAACTATTTTTGATTCCGTTTTGGATTCTTCTGTTTCTTGACCGTCTTTATACCATGTCTGCCTTGGCACGCAGGACATTAGTCGTCGATGTTCCAAGTTTTTAGCCAAATGTCGAACAAAGGCACTCTTCTATTGAGTAATTCTCGTTGAAACTAGGCCGCTATTGACACATGGTCTTTAAATATTTAAATATATCCGCTTGATTGGTAGCAACTGGTGAACAATTGAGATTTCCACTTTCCTTAGCTTAAAATAATCGACCCCTCGCACGTCAAAGGGCCTTTCAGTTTTCAAAAAAAGTTGAATTTCTAGAAGTTCTTGATATATTTATTTATATTGCTAAATCTTTGAAATTTCATATGCAAAAAACACGTTATTATGAAGAGGAAGGATAGAGCTTTCATTCGGAATGTAAATTTTCTGGTCGCCATATTTGATTTTATCAGAAAAACGTATTATTTCATTATGTTTGCAACCACCATTTTGATTTTATGGTCACTATCTGAAAGCTGAGAAAAAATGCTATCACATACATTCAACAGATTAGGTGAGGAATTACATTAACACAATGAAACAACAATTTTTCGAGGTTCACAATTTTCCGCTCATGACGTCCCTAATAAACAAATACCATAAACGAACTGTATCCCGGATGGGTAAACTATTCCACAAATGGTTTGGATGATACCCCGAACACGTCGTTAAGATCTCTTTTATGGTTATTTTTATTAGGGGTGTCATCAACGTCAAAGCAGCGCCAGCGTTCAGTGCGCGTGTGTTTTATATTTGTTTGCGTGGATGTGTATTGTTGCCTCATTGTTCGCGTGTATGAATGCGTTCATCACAATGATTTTGACGTTTGGTTTTTCTCGACGGAAGTTTGTTGTGTGCTGCAGATTCACTACCCAGCAAAAAATAAATATTAATATTACATCCAATTTTACAATTACATGCACTTCAATCATGTAGCAAATCTCATGTAATTTTTATGGCCAAAAAAAATAAACAAAAGCAGCGTAATGTCAGTTCATGCACTGTATTAATGATAATTTTGTCCAGAGTCGAGTTTCGAACGCCTTTGGAAACGGTTGTGTATTAAGTGTGCGTGCATTCGCTTTCATAGTTTTCGGCTGCATTTGCCAGATTAGCGCTGGCACTCTGCCTCCCGGACGTACGTGTGTGAGTGGTGGTTTTCTCGCTTTCCGAGAAGTTTTAGAATCGAGAAAGAAAACATGATTCATCATGTTTGCAAGCAACAGAAGATTTAACGCTATCTGCGTTGTTTGATTTTTTCTACCGGTCCAGAAATTTGTGGCATCGCGAGTGATAATTTTAATTTTAGTTGTCTCGCTGGATACGCCCAAGACTGGACGGGCGGTAGCTGGTGGCCGTAAACGGTTCCTGGGGAAAGTACTAGATGCGACCCTCCTCCCAGATGACCATGGCAATACAGGAAGTATTACAACAAAGGTAATTGCTATTAGATATTTTGCAAACAGTGACAGATAGCGGACATGAAGAACCAGTGGAGGTTCCGGGCAAAGGTGTTTATCCTTGACAAATGGTAAGTTACAAATTCTCTGTTGTCGTTGTCGTAGGCGCCGTCGTATTAGCTGTCGTAATCACCGTCGTAGTCGTAGGCAGTACTGTTGGTATATTTAAAATTAAACATCAACCGCTGAAAGTATGAATTATCGCGTATTTCTGTTGTTCATTACATTCCAAGTGAAATTCGAGAACGTCATTTCATTTGAATAGCTTGTTTAACCAGGTCTTAAGCAATCGTCACGTCGGTCATAGCTTGTTATGATTGTCTGAACCATGCGTAAAGAGAAAATCGAAACATTGAACGTCGCGTGAAAGTGGACCTTAATGAAGGCCTAAGTACTCTTTCGGAGCTTTTAGTTTTAGGATTTCAAAGATCGTCGGTTGCAGTGGCTTGCATACTGAGGAGAAAAACGCGGTCCCAGATCCTTTCATATTAAAAATGCATGGTAAGATCGCTTGTTTATCATGTATTTTGTAAAACTTTTCGTTGTCGTCGGTGCTGGGTTTGAATAGTTATAAAAACTTGAATAACGTTATAATGTGATATGAGAGGCTCGGTGGCCTTAGAGCAACCGTTTTTGCTTACTGAGCAGAACATCATGAGTCTAATCTCAAGCCCATCCACATTCAAGATTCGTCAATGATTAAAAAGGAGCTCGTTAGGACATCAATTCAGCTTATCGTTTACCAAAACGAACCTTGCTGCTAACCCAACCCTCTTACCTAAAATCCCTGTGATTCCTCGTGGAAGTGCAGAGGAATCCTCGGCTTCCATCAAAGCGAGTGTCACGTCAACACATTCCTACCCATTCCTTTCTTGACCTGCGTTCAGGCGCGGCTGGCGCTGGTATTGCCTAATTCGAGATCACCAGTTTTTACACATTGAGGATGATGGCTAGTCCCAAGCATCGTCTATTGGTTCTCTGTGTAATTACAGCTGGTCTGGCAATAACAGAGTAGCAACCGTGGGCGGTCATTCATGCTCATGCTCATGTATTAATGATTATTTTGTCCATTTTGGCAAGTAATATTACACCATATTTTAGACACGATGGAAGTGCATTCACTTATCATATTAAAATTATTTTTTTGCTGTGTAACGATGTTTAAGAATCGTGCAATTCAGGTACTCAAAAAGGTAGGCCGTGCTGAAAACAAGGTTGCAAATACTCATTTCAGCTAAAATAATGTTTTTGGGAATAATAAAACCAAAAGATGGTATGATGGCATGTTTTACTTGTAACTTACAAGAAAAGGTTACAAAGTTTGCGTTTGAAACCTAAAACCTGTAAATTTTTCTTTCACAATCAGCGATTTGCTGATCGCTGAGTGAGTGAGTGAGTGTGTGAAAAATCATCTGGTTAGCATCCCTCAAAAGTTTACAACAAGTATTTTTCACGTTGCAGATGAGTGGATATTAAAATTAATGATTCATATTGAACTGCAACAACACCGCAACGATTTGTCAACATAACTGCACCATTACGTATTATCGATGGTATCCATGTTCCAGTTATGTTGAAAATAAGTAGCAAATGCGTAGTTTGAACAATCATAGAATTTGTTGAGTATGTGCGTGCTTTAAACGTCACTTGTCAGTAGCAATGTGACATCGAGTGGTAGCGACATCGGTGCCAGCGTTGCCAGAT